TAACTCTCCTTCTAATTGAGCTAGAATGTTAAAACTTGGTGTAGGCATTCATTTGGTGAATACCTGGATGAAGTTTGATGATAAACATTGTCTGCCTACGGTAAGCAGAGATAAGCAATCTGATTCGTTGATGCTTTGGGGCACGATAACTTTAGTTTTAATTAAGTGAGAGTGATGAAACTCAGAGTATAGATTCATTATATCATTACCTTGACTATGTTTGATGAGACTTTTCTGCTTAGGCTAACGTGCATAAGCAATTTGATTGGTAAAAACTTTGGGACATAACTCTGCTTTTAATTGAGATAAAATGTTTAAACTTGATGTAGATGTTCATTAGGTGAATGTCTTGACTGAGTACAATGCTAAAGATAAGCAGAGCTAAGCAATTTCATTGGTCTATGCTGTGGGACAAGATAACTTTGATTCTATCTGATAGAGTGATGAAACTTAGTTTAGTGTATAGTTGATAATCAGCTTGATTGCTTGATACTTTTGAAAAAAATAAATGTGCTATTACATGTAATTAAACATACATTATGCAAGAGCTAAATCTGTCTATTGCAGGTCTTTCTTTAGGCCTGAAATGTTATCTAAATTATTAATTAGACATTAATTAACTAATCCAGACCCATAATCAACTCTAGATGGCATCGCTAGCCTGCAATCTTAAGTGGATTGTGATCCGATTTACAGCATAACTTTCCTTCTCGATTAAACGATTAAATGGATAATCGAGACTATGCTGTTTTACGTACTAACTTTATTAATGATGACCGAGGCTAGGCAGAAATTTCATTCGCTTAGTTCTCGGTTCATAGTGGATCAATTTGAATGAAATTTTCAGCAAATTGCCTTTACGTTATCTAGCTTTTAATTATTATAGTGAGAACTGCCAACTCGTTGTCGAATCTCCCATAATGTATCTTTAATATGTGTCATCAATTTATTTTTGGATTTCGGGGGGGACATCAGCCTCACTGTTGGCTTGTTAATTTTATAAGACAATATTTAATGTTATGTTACTTGTAGGTACAGTAGGTAATTGATTTATTGTAGGTACTAACCATAGAGGTGTACTTTATTTGAAGTACTAGTACGCTAACATCAGTATTTTCATTGAAGACCACAACTTATTAGGCCTTTATATTTGCTACCTGATACTTGTTTTTATGAATTCCACTTTTTAAAGATATAAATAAACCTCTGTTAATGAATAAAATTCAGGAACTATTACTAACAGGATGCCATCGACAGTCAATAATTTAGGGTTGGGTTTTTTTTTTTTTAACTCTGGGTCTTGTCGGGGAGGCACATACCTGGTATTTATAAATAAAAGATTCTACTCTCAGGTAAAATGAAATTAACTAAGATGAAATTAGTTTTTTCTTTCTAAAACCTCAGAAATAGGTCTGATCGTCATTTATTTTATTTAAAAGAAATTTTGTTTCTAGTTTAGCATTATTTAACCCCCAGTTACAGTACTATGAAAAGAACAAATAATCCATATTCCATTAGATTTTAAAACTGAAACTGGACAGGTAGGCTCTGCTGCATGGTTTGGGATCACAACTACCATACCTTATCATGATCAATTGAATAGGTAAATTAAAATATTCAGGGAAACCGACCCGGCGATAACATTATTTATGCACACCTCTTTCCAGGGATATTTTATTTTATTTTTCAAAACATTTCCACAAATTTCAGATCTTTCTTCAATGACTGAATTTTGATGGGGGAGATCAGAACAAAGCGACCGCAGAAAGCTGAATAACTGTCATCGTTGAATAACTGTAAAGCTTTTATTAATTGGTTAAGGCGGCCAGAATCCTCTTCTGTAGTTACACTTAATTCAGATATAATGCCAGCAATCTGCTCACACATTCATTTCGATGTTCTGCCAAAGATTTGTCTGATCTATTAAGACAATGAGCCAAACTCAAGTTTCGATGATATATAAGGAATTTATTTCATTTTTTTTTTTTTTTTAAAACAATCTATAAAATCAGATAATTCTAATTCTTAGGAATTATTCTTGGAATGGAGCATTAATTTTAGCCGAGACGATAAGTACTGGCATCTTATAACTTCGACTGAACCTGGGACCACACCCTCTGTCCACTCGAATGGTGAAATTCTGATTGTTGAAAATGCAACGATGAAAAAGTTACAGTGAACTTGCAAAGTAGAAATTGAAAAACATAACTAGATTTTTAGTGTTAATTCTTGTCAAGCAAATTTGTTTTGATACTAATATAGTGATTTTGTGTTATGTGATATTTATGAGTGAAAAATGTTGAAATTTGCCATTTTTTAATTTTACCATTTTGACTATGACAATTTTGTAATTTTAACCATAATATTTTTCCTTAATATGACGATGATTCGGCTCCGTATTAAAATGGGTTTGTCCATCTGTCACAGACAGACTGTCTGTCACACTTTTTGAGACAACAACTCTGCTTCTAATTGAGCTAGAATGTTCAACCTGGCTGAGGGTGTTTATTACCTGTAGGTGAATGCCTTGGCTGAGTTTGATTGTCCCAAAGCATCAACCAATGAAATTTCTTAGCTCGGCTTAGCTTTAGCTCGAAATGTTAATCATTGAACTCAGTCAAGACATTCACCTAATGAACATCTAGATCAAGTTTAAACATTCTACCGTAATTAAAAGCAGAGTTGTTATGTTCCAAAGTCTTGACCAATCAAATTGCTTATCGCTCCTTAGCCCAAGCAGAAAATTCTCATCATTGAACTTGGTCAAGGTAATGATATAATGAACATAGGCGTACGGCGAAATTTTTGACTGGGGGGGCGGTGGTGGTTGGTGCCCAAAAAATGTAGTTAGGTTCTTAGTATGTTACATAATAATAACAAGCCAACAGTGAGGCTGATGTCCCCCGCCGAAATAGCAAAATAATTAGATGACACGTATTAATTAATAGAACATGTATTTTTTTCAAAAGTATCGAACAGTTAAACTATAGACTAAGTTTCATCACTGTCTATCAAATAGAATCAAGATTATGAAACTGATAAGCTCTGCTTGGCTTCAGCTCGAAATGTTAATCATTGAACTTAGTCAAGACATTCACCTAATGAACATCTGCATCAAGTTTAAACATTCTACCTCAATTAAAAGCAGAGTTATTATGTTCCAAAGTCTTGACCAATCAATTAAATTGCTTATTGCTCCTTAGCCTTAGCAGAAAATTTTCACCATCGAACTTAGTCATGGTAATGATATAATGAATCTATATTCGGAGTTTCATCTCTCTCAAAGTTATCATGCCCCAAAGCATCAACCAATCAGATTGCTTATCTCTGCTTACCGTAAGCATACAATGTTCATCATTGAACTCCATCAAGGCATTCACCTAATGAAAGCCTACACCAAGTTTGAACATTCTACATCAATTAGAATGTGAATTATTGTGTTCCAATGTCTCGACCAATCAAATTGCTTATCGCTCTGCTTAGCCTGAGTAGAAAATGCTCATGATTGAACTTAGTCAAGGTATTGATGTAATGAAACTATACACCAAGTTTCATCAATCTCACTTAATTAGAACTAAAGTTATCGTGTCCCAAAGCATCAACAAATCAAATTGCTTATCTCTGCTTTCCCTAAGCGGAAAATGCTCATCTTCGAACTCCATCAAGGCATTGACCTAATCAACACATACACCAAGTTTGAACATTCTAGCTCAATTAGGCAGAGAGTTATCGTGCCCCAAAGTATCAACCAATCAAATTGCTTATCTCTGCTTACCCTAAGCGGAAAATGCTCATCTTCGAACTCCATCAAGGCATTGACCTAATAAACACATACACCAAGTTTGAACATTCTAGCTCAATTAAAAGTTATCGTGTCCCAAAGCATCAACCAATCAAATTGCTTATCTCTGCTTACCCTAAGCGGAAAATGCTCATCTTCGAACTCCATCAAGGCATTGACCTAATCAACACATACACCAAGTTTGAACATTCTAGCCCAATTAGGAAGAGAGTTATCGTGTCCCAAAGCATCAACCAATCAAATTGCTTATCTCTGCTTACCCTAAGCGGAAAATGCTCATCTTTGAACTCCATCAAGGCATTGACCTAATAAACACATACACCAAGTTTGAACATTCTAGCTCAATTAGGAAGAGAGTTATTGTGTCCCAAAAAGTGTGACGGACAGACAGACGGGACAGACAGACCGACAGACAGACAGACGGACAAAAATTAGATGTGCAATTAATTAATATGCGTCGTCTATTTATTTTGGGATGTCAAGTATAATGGACCAATAAAATTCCACAAATAGGGTTAGGCGCAAATCCTTGCCTTGTGAACACGATTTGGTGTGAAGCATTTTGGTCATGAGAGGATGAACAATATCAATTTTCACTGTTCCATGACTTTTCGTTCTGGAGTTTTCCCCCCTTTGCCCTTCCATTCTGGAGTTATCCCCCCTTTGCTGAAAACCTTGTGAACTTGGTAGAGACTGTCGTTTTCAACAGATTCTTTTCAAATTGGGTGTGAAGCGTTGTGGTCATCAAAGGATGAACCCTATCGACATTCAGCATTCTACACCTTTTCATTCAGGAGTTATTCCTCCCCCCACGCCTGCTGACAACTGTGTGAACGAGGCATAGGCTACAGTTCATGACTGATTCTTTTCAAATTTGGTGTTATCCCTCTTTTTTGATTTTTAAAAGGATTTCTTTCAAGCATTGGTGGGAAGCATTGGTGTCATGAGAGGATATTAAGTGTTCTGTGACTTTCCATTTCAGAGTTATCCCCCCTTTGTTTAAAACCTTGTGAACATGATAGAGGCTACATTTTTTTTAAAAATTAGGTGTAAAGCATTGTGGTCAAACCTTATCAATTACCATGACTTTGCTGCTTGTGGGCATATGTGGGCTGCCAAAAATGATTTTTTTTATATTTGGCTACAATGCACTGGCAATCACCCCACATCCATATATATATTTTTTTTAATGTTGTAGGATTTTTTACCTGGAAATTGGTAGCAAGCCTTAGAAATAAACAGAAATTAAAAGACGAAAAAAAGAAGCTCAAACAACAAAAGAAAGATAAAGAACTACAGAAAAAAATTAAGAAAAAATAAATACTAGACCTATTTATTTGAGACTCTTTTCAATTTAAAATATATTGTTACAAAATGGTTATGGGATTTGAAATGGTAGCAGTTCAACAGGTAGACAAGATCAAGGTGATGGATAAATTTACATAAAGAAGCCAAAAACTAATTAAAATAGGAAATAATCTTTACCTATGTATATTAGTTATTAGAGCAACTCCTGGCAATTTGAGGAATAATTTACACAAGATAATTTATAACAAATGTTTGTTAAAGTTATTTATATTTCTGTTGATTCTTGATTTATTTTTAAGTTGGTAGATTATTTAACTTTGTAGATTTCTGTTAAAAATAATATTTAGTGAATGTTCAATGGATACCTGTATAACATCAAGGCAATAGCTACAAGCTTCTATTTTTTTTATTTTTTTTGATCCATCTATTTAAAAATAAGATCACTTTTCAGAATAACAAAGATGAATATCAATATTCTGTCTTGTTCATAGTTATTTATATGACAATCAGGAAGCTAATGGAAGTCCACTGAATGAGCATAATGCACAAGACAGAGATATTTGACTTTGAGAATAATATTTAAGTTTATTATTGAATTGAAATCATAGTATGTAAAAAATCATTATCATTTTACCTCATTATCATATTCATTTTGAAATGTGATATCCTTAAGTCAGCACAACACAATTTTACCAAAACATTCTAGGCAATCCAGATCTCTTTGACCATCTTAGACACAGGTTACGATAATCGTAATCGCCTTCGTCACTTGTCTGCCACTTTCTCTATTTTGATGCATCTTTGGAAAGGTTATTATTTAATCCCACTGGTACATTGTTAGGTTTTTAGCACTATTTATAGCATGTGAAAGGATGTTTTGGGGATTCAGTATTCTCAAAACGATCAACAAATAATCCGTGGATAATGTAGAGAACATGGGTTATGTAGAATTTGGGTCATGCCCCTAGCCTTAATGGGCATTACTCATTTTTGGATGTTTGTACATTGTAAATACATGTATATCAAAATCTATCCACTAGAATGTTTCAAATTTGTAAGGGCTGGATCCCAGGATGTTTGTTGCAATGACTAATTTAATGAGGATGGTTACCCAGAGGCCCTCATTTTACTCAAAATTGAATAAAAACATTTTCTACTGTATAATTTTAATACACAGGTCAGAATTCTATGGTATACAATAACTGCTTAGTAATTTTTTGACTAGGCTTTATCAAGCAGTGGTCTAGTCAAAATGTCGCTCAGTTATAAGCAATAATTGTATTCCATAGAATTGTGAACTGAAAGAAATCTGATAATTTTAAGGTTAAAGACTTACTGTAATTTCTAATCCGTTATGTGTGGCGAAATGCTGGAAGAGTCAAAATTAAATGGCAGTCTTTGGCATTTGGTTATTTCAGTCTACACCGGTAGTATTCTCCTGTGGGATATGTTTAGCCTCGTTCATCGAGTCGCTTCATTACAAATGGTGCTCGAAAGCATTCCGGCACACGATTCGTGTGCCAATTTTAAAATTTTCATTTTGTCTTAAATATTGGATATCAGAAGCCCATGTTGTTGACCAATAAGCTGTGTTTGCGTAAAATAACATCGATATTGTTGACCAATAAGCTGTGTTTGCAATGTCCAAGACTGTGGATAATATAGAGTAGAGACCTGCCTCCTTTAAGTTTCAAATTGTCATACTTTTAATTAAAATGAAAAATTAATCAAAAAGAATGTAATCTATAAAAAAAAAACCAATAATCAAAGGTATTGTAAATTGATTTTAAATTATTTTTTTTTAAAAGTTGGTTTAACATACATTTGTGTTTACTATCTTTTAATTGTAACTGCTGCTAATATTAAAACACTGCTAAATCACTGGTACTGCTTCTAATATAATGTTATATAACACTGCTAGATTTTGTGAGGCCCCTTCAGCTGTAGCTAGTATAGGTATGCCTAAACAGGGGCGGATTGAGGATTTTCAGAAGGGGGGGGCGTGCTGCCCCCACTTGGGAGTGCGAAGCTCGGCCCTCGGTGGGTGGACTGACAGGCAATCAACCAAATCACCAACCGGCTCTTTTCGGAGTAAATTACGATGGGGATCACTACCATTTTTAAGTATTTTTGTTCTCCTTACCCGCAAATTGTTCGCTACTGCAAAGGTGGGGGGGGGGGGGATTCCCCCCTTGGATCCGCGCCTGCTAAATCTGTTCTTTATTTTTGTTCATCACTGAAATGTCAAATAATGTATGATCATTTGCACTTTTATTAAAGTTAGAGAATGGAAATAAAAAATAATTGTAAATCCTGCCAATTCTTTTTGAGTGTCCTACTGAAATCAATTCAAGGGACACAACACCAAAAAGCATAATATGAATATCAGTGAAATGAACTGCAGGTTAACTTTCTACTTGTCTGGTTGAATATTCAGTACTATCTAAGGATTCATTTTAAGGACCTTGTATACCCTTCAGACACAAATAGTTATTTTTGGGATCAACATATGCAATTGTTCAATTTAATTTCAATAATTCGCTGGGACCTTATGTGAGAGGAAACCAGAAGACCCAGAGAAAACCCATGATGCAAACATTAAGAAACATTTGTGCATGCAAGAAAGGATTGGGTGATAAATAACATCTCCTACTCGTCTTGTTTGAATAATAAAAAAAAAAAAAATAAAAAAAAACTCAGCAGAGCCTCGGGGTTTTTTTTTTCGACTTGTGTTGATATCAAACAAGACGAGTAGGAGATTCTCCATTTCTATTCTGGGGACAAAGTCCTCAATAGCAGTACATTTCTTTCGTGTATTAATTGGTTGAATTACATAATGCTCAAGGAATTCTACATACTTATTACATCCAGGTGACATTGAGAACAGGCACCAAGTCACTTTACAGATACAATTGTAAAAGAAAAGGCAGTTATATTTATTTATTTTTATTAAGTATTAAAATGTATGAAAGTAGCAGTAATTAGTTACTGTACAGTAAAATTAATTAATTTCAAATAGTATATATGTATTGATGTTGAAACTTCCACTATTGGATACTGAATTCTTAATGCCTTTTATCAAATTTCATACCCATTTCAAAACTCAGTTTCTCGCAACACCCCTGAGACAATTCTAGATTTAACCTTTCTTTTAAAAATCTAAAATAATAGTTCGTAAAACAAATGGGTTTATTCTGACCAATCCTCTTTAGACTAAAATGAAAGAAACAATTTCATTTTTACTTTCAGGTAATTAATAAAATATGGGGTTAAGAAATTTGAAATACATATTTTAGATTTTAATCATGTTATTGGGCATAAAGGACCATATTCACGAAAAATATGTCTTTATTATAAATATAATGGGGGTTGTCATTGTCTTCATGGAGGTCAATATTTCTAATTGCACAAACTAATTATGATTGATGTGTAAATGAATATTTAATATTTGATTAAGTTCTCCCATACCTTATTCATGTATGCCTTTATGTTAAATGTTGACCATGAAATATTTTAAAATAAATTTTACCTTAAGATTTAGAAGTTCTTAGACACATGTACCACAATTGCAATATACTGCCAACTCTGTTGGATCAACAACCCAGATCAAATGTTCAACTAATCAGCCCAAGCATAAATCGCTTGAATGAAACTATACACACACAAGAGTCATGTTGAAAGTCTTGACCGCTCAGATTGCTTATCACTATGCTTAACCTAAGTAGAAAATGCTCAAAGTTATTGTGTCTCAAAGCACTGACAAATCAAATTGCTCATCTCTACTTGGCCTAAGCGGAAAATGCTCATCAAACTGAGTCAAGGCATTCACCTAATAAACATTCTACCTTAATTAGAAGCAAAGTTATTGTGTTGTAAAGTCTCGGCCAATCGAACTGCTTATTTCGGATTAGCCTTATTTGTTGCCAAATGACTGTTTCTTTCATTGACATGGAAAATGAGGCTTCACCACATAACCAAAAAGGAAAATTGTTAAGACATTGGTGTCATTTCCATTTTCATGATTATAGAATATAATTTGTGATATATTACGAGGCTTCTTCAGGCTGTTTATGACTAATCGGCCAGTTTGTACATTTTTGGGATTATCAAAATTACTGCTAAATGTACTTGTATGTGAACTGAATGGGGTTGACAATTCTCACATAGATATGACGTTAACCAACTATTTGTATTAGGATAGCTGGCACCTTTAATTAGTTTTTACATGCCGTCGACGACGGAACTCTGAGGGATGGAATGTCGTATAAAGATAGGTTGCTAGGCAACGAAACATACGCCCACAGCAGCTAAATCGTCCGGACGTCAACAAGAGTTTTCACATACAGGGATAGAAACTAATGCTCACCCGGTAGCCTATGGCGAGTAAAAGGTAAAAGTCAGTACGGGTGAATGAAATTCAAAATCAATTAGCCCGTGTGGCGACCTGATATTTTGGTAGTTGTAATAATTGATAATTTGTACTTAATGAACAGTCATGAAACTAACTTCCGAAAATCATCGCCATCACTATTTAAGATTTTATTGCATCGAAACATCCATTTAGGACAGCATACAATATAAACGTGTTCATAAAAATTATAACAATATGACAATTATACGCGAGCTTGCTGATTGGTTGAAATTGTATATGATAACGAGGGAGGGTACGGAACAGCCTTTGTTTACACCTCGATGAATTATGAAGAGAAAGTCGATATAATTGAATACTTTTTCAGTCATATTTCAGGTTAATTATCATAAATCGCCTAACCTAATCGTTGATATATATATACATGAAGCAATTTAGCGAAGAACATGGATGTTAAAAGGTTTTATAACAGCGATATATTACGGCAATGAAGAGGCTCGTAAATACCCGTGCTCTGCTATAAATAACTTCATCACTCGGTGACAACTTATGATATTAAATTTTAAGGACATTACATCATATTATTTTGCACATCACAACTGAATTTATAAAACATAAATGAAATATAAATATAAATGAGGCCCCTGAAAAAATCTATTGTATTGAAGATTAAACTTCCAAAGGACAAATATGAAATGAAATGTGCCAAATTGAATTTTAATATATATGTCTTCATGACTGATTAATGAATTCATTATTTGATGAAAAAACAGAGGCAACAATGAACAAAGTCTATTTGTTGTATTATTAAATGTGCCAAAATAAATTTAAGTGCATGTATTTTGGTGTTTTTGACTGATTAATGATGAACAAAACAACAGTCTAGTAGAATGTTGGCTGGGCTAGTAAGATCTGAAAGCTACTAGACCAAATGGCTAGCGACCATTTCAGGTTAGTTTCTACCCCTGCACATATTTTTACTTTTTTCGGTAACAAAACATTTATAATACACTAAAATCTGATTAAGAGCAACAACTGATTAAGTAATTATCAGAAAATCATTAGAATTTGTTATACGAAACTACGAAACGTTTAATATCATGGAAGTTATCAAAATTCATTGTTTGTCTCAAGACCTTAAACTCTGTATATCGATCTAAGGTCAATTGGATGATAACTTTAGCCTCTAGAGCGTCACAAGATTTTTCGAAGTGATCAAGGGCCATAACTTTGGCAGTAATTATCGGAAATCATTAAAGATAGGTTGCCAGGCAACGAAACATAACCCACACAGCAGCTAAATCATCCGGGCAGTTAACATGTGTTGTCGCATATTTTTACTTTTTTCGGTAATGAAACATTTATAATACAGTAAAATCTGATTAAGAGTAACAACTCATGAAGTAATTATCAGAAAACCATTAGAATTTGTTGGTTTTTATAAAGTTCAGCCCAATGGTAACGTTTAGTATACAAAACTTTTAATATCATGGATTTAGCTGTTCAAGTCAATCGGATGATAACTTTATCCTTTAGAGCGTCACAAGATTTTTCAAAGTCATGAAGGGCCATAACTTTGGCAGTAATCGGAAATCGTTGAAAATCAATAGGATTCTTCGTTTCATGACCTTAAACACTGTGTATAAGTTTAAAGTCAATCGGATATTAACTTTGGATATTTTGGTACCTAACTGTAACCAAGCCTGGAAATAAGGCACCTGTCACAGACAATGTCAGGCTTTGTCAGGTACTAAACCTCTGGTGCCTGTCATTTTGTCCGGCACTGATTTTTCTTTTTTACTGATATCATTAATACATGTCCGGCACTAAGTTGAAAATGTCAGGTACTATTTCATTAGTGCCTGACATTTTGTCAGGTACATCTAAAACCGTTATTTCCAGGCCTGATTGTAACACAAATAAGATGGAGAGATAGATGTTTTAGGTGAGACTACAATACTCCTTGCCACTACAAATCAGGGATTTTACCCGACTTGCACAGATAACAGATTGCATAATCTGCAGACAGTAAGTTCAAGAGAAGATATATAATTTATTTAAATAGAACCAGCGGCTGCCAGGCAAGATATGTCCACATTTTGCAAGAGATAGAGAACAATCTAAAAACAAAAGCGATTTTTTGTACAATCAGGGGCCATAATCCAGCAAGTTATGGTCCGAAATGCACAAATACCAATAGGACCTGAGATCTTTGGGATATAAAGATATGTTTTAAGTTTCACCAAAATCGGATAAAAATTGTGACCTCTAGAGGACCCACAACCTTCGTATTACATATTTTTACACAATTTGCTTTCAAAGAGCGGCCATTTTGTTAGGCAGTTTCATTTCGATTTTCCCAATATTCTAATTCAACCTTCATTATGGTGGAATGGTGATATATTTCAAAAAAGAACCAAGGTCTTTGGGTTACAAACATGCATTTCAAGTTTCATCAAAATCTGATCAAAATTGTGACCATTGATATACCTATTTGCATACAAGGGGTGGCCATTTTGTCCGGCACTTTTGGTCCATTTTCACAAAATTCACACTCAACTGACCTCACAGTATAACTGTGATATATTCAAACTTTTTTTTTTAAATCGGATAATTGTGACCTCTAAAAATGCAATTTTCCACACAATCGGGGGCCATAATTCAGGAAGTTACGATCTGATATGTGCAAATATCAAAAGGAACCAAGATCTTTGGGTTATAAACACGCATTTTAAGTTTCATCAAAATTGTGATTGCTTCAAGTCCACAACCTTGATAAACCAGATGTTTACACTATTTGCGTACGAGAGGTGGCCATTTTGTCTGGCAGTTTTGGTCCGATTTTCACAAATTCGAACTCAACCGACATTACGTTGTAACAGTGATATATTCAAACGTGTTTTTTTTTTTAAAATCGGATAATAATTGTGACCTCTAGAGGAACCACAAGCTAAAAATGCGACTTATTGTACAATCAGGACCATAATTCAGGAAGTTATGATCCGATATGCGCGAATATCGAAAGCAACCAAGATCTTTGGGAGATAGACCTATATGTCAAGTTTCGTCAAAATCAGATAAAAATTGTGACCTGTAGAGTGTCCACAAACTATCTGGAAGAACAGACAGGGGTAAGAGCATAATACGTCCACATGAAAATGTGGGCGTATAAAAACCAGAATTCTATTAAAGATTTTAAATGTGGGCGTATAAAAACAAGAATTCTACTAAAGATTTTGAAGCTACTTGTCAAATCACTGGCAGAACAAATTAACTTTAATCACTAGATGCTTTTTGGTCAGAGATTTCATATTCAGATTATGCATATGTATCATAGTTATGAAGGCCGGGACAAGTGCAATTTGATTCATAATACATATTGCAAAAGTCAAGACCTAAACAGTCTATGTTTCTCTCTTCCAAGTATTTTATTTTCTACATCAAATTCACAGCTGTAAAAATTAATATCTTCATATTGAAGGTATTGACCAACACTAGCAGGCCGGGACAAGTGCAATTGGACAAAATTAAACCAAACATTGCCCAAGTACCAACCTACTTGTAGAGGTACATGCATATTAGCAGAAATTGATTGATGAAAGCCATTTGTAAATTCAGTACATACAAAAATAATTTATCAAAAGAAATCTAAATCAATAAAATAAGCAACAATGAGGCTGATGTCCCATACCTCACATCAGACTAACTAGATGACACTTCTTAAAATTACTTGCACATTTGTCTTTTTAGAAAACATCACACAATCACTTATCAATCTGCTTAACACAAACAGAAAATGCTTATTGTAGAACTTAGTCCAGGTACTGATGTAATGAAATTATTCTCCATGTATTATCACTTTTACTTAATTAGAATTTTGTTCTAAAGCACTGAAAAATATCAATTTGCTTATCTGTGCTGAAGGTATTGATGCAATGAAACTATAAAATTACACTAAGTTTCATCAAATGGCTTCTCTCTGCTTAACCTAAGCAGAAGAGCTCAAACTCAGTAAAAATATTAACCCAATGAACATTCAACCTCAATTAGATTTTGTGTCCCAAAAATGTTTGACAGACAGACGATCCCATTATAATAAGCCTCCTACTTCCATCGAAAAATGCAGTTGACCCAAGAATTGACAATATGGCTCTGTAATGATATGCATATCAGTAGAAAACAGCAGGCCGGGACAAGTGCAATTTGATTAATTTACCAGATTGCAAAAATCACAACCTGCTATTTATCACATATTAATCATTGGTTTAACACTACTAGTACCATACAGATTTTCTTTAATACTACATTCATCTTGACTAGAATGGTAGTCCATCAGTGTTCAATTTCGAGAGGGAACAAAGTCAGACAAAAAAGTTAGCATAGATGATCAAGAGGGCCAACCCTTTTTTCATCAAGGGCACAAAGTCACAAAAGAAATATATTTTAGATCTTGTTAAATGATATTATTATATCTGAAGCATGCACTTTTGTAGACCCAGAAAACATTAAATAAATACAATATTAATACTCAATGAGTTGCTCTAGAAAGTGCATGCAGGGACTAATAGTAATACACAACACTTATCAAATTAATTTCAAAGAGTACATCATATACTTTGTTGATAATAAAAATCTATATTAATTCTATTAATAATAGAAAGTAAGTGAAATAGTAATAAAATGAACTTTGTTGTAGCTATGGAGAAGACATAACATTTCTCCATATATCTCACAAACTGGATTCTGGAAGATGCAGAACTTATAGTATTCAACTCAGTATTGAGACGGGTAAATTTTCTTCTTAACCAAGTTAATCTTTTTTTCCTCAAATTGTCTCAAAATTTTTACCACTATCCTCCAAATCAAATATTCCAGAGAAAATAAAAAAAAAATAAAAAATTTCTTTTGCCAGTTGTAAATTATCTTAAATCCATCTTTCTTTCCTTTCTTCACTACCTCTGTATCTTTATCTGAAAACAAATTAAAACAGTATTACCTTCATTTTCCAAAAAAATAAAAATAAACAAGGTCATTTTATTCCATCTCATTCTCAAGCTTAATTTTAGTGCTTTTTGCAGTACTTGTGATTTACATTGTACTGTTGGTTACAGTACAGTAGCTTATATATGATATTATACCTACATGATATATTGGTATTATGCAAGGTATGTAAGGGCTTCAATTTAAAGCAAATAACTGTTGATGTGCAAGAGGATTGAGAACTATTACAAACTCAGTACAGCTGCAGTTGAAATTGTCTTATAACATCACAAACTCAGTACAGTTGCAGTTGAAACTGTCTTCAACATCAAGAAACAATAGGATTACAAAAGAAAGCACAGTCTCATTTACCCTACCTGTTATATTTTAGTACAGTTAGTGTAAATAAATTATAGATATAAGCTTACTCAATCTAGACAAGTATCTTGCACATGTAGTACTACCTGCTCAACTATCATCTCTAGTCAACAACTCCACCCTAAATAGCCAAAACATACTGCATGGGCAATAATAAATATGTTAGGACAAGTTTAGATTCTTGGAATATGATTACAATTACCAGTAACCAAAGAAATAGGATTACAGATTAACAGATTATATTGTTATATACTAATAATAAAGATAAGATTATGACATAATTCCAATGAATGAAATAAATCTAAATACATGTGACCCTAGTAATTATACACATACAGTAAACCTCGCATAAGTCAGATCTTCGGTCAACTCGGAGAAAATCGTTTGGACCATTTGATCTTGAATGTTTTTCTTATTAAATTTCTGCGCTTAAGTTGGATTTTTGCTCAACTCGGATCAAAATGTTCTGTCCATTTGATCTAATTCCAGCATTTTTCCTTTACCCAAGTCGGATTGGCAGTATGTTCACAACATGCTGTTAAAAATATGTCCCCCTCCACCAAACGGCCTGACTGACGCCACTGAGCTCCAAATACAGGGCAGCGCACAAATTTGTAATTGGGCTAGGCAAAGCAATAATTGACTGAAGTTTCTCAGCTTTTCAACGATTCTAATTTTTCCCCACCCCAGCTTACCTAAATTTCGTTTCGTCTTATATGGCGAAGCCACGTAAATCCGTATGCCACCCCACATCTAGATCTCAATGGCGTCCACCAAAGCCGTTTAGCAGAAGGGGACAGGTTTTTATCAGCATGTTGTGTTGCACATACTGACTCTAGCGAGGTAAGCAAGGTCTTATTTTCTTGCTAAAATTGTAAAATGGCAGTAAAAAGTTGCCCAGTAAAATTGACCGGGAACCGATTTTTATTTCGACAAGGATACAATAGGATGGTTCCTGAACGTACAGGGCGATAATGAGACCTACGTTTCGAGCTGAACTAGGTCTTCCGCTAACTCGGATCTTCACGCAAGTTGGATAAAATTGGTCAGTCCATTTAGATCTGACTTATGCTAAGTTTACTGTATGATCATTTTCATTCTCTACATTAAAGCAACAGGAAATTATAGAGTTGTAAAGACTTTATTGATAACAAATTGAAATTTTGAACTAGTTAAGAAAATAAACCCAATTTTTATTGCCAATAACTTTTAAGTACATACCTGATAAAGAATTATTAATCCAAAATGTCACAAATAACATAAAATATCCTTTATAATAATGTTATCCATCTTGCAAAGACACTATTTTATCATTTTACAGCAAAAACAATATACATAAGCATACATGTACCTACATGTACACATATTTTACAAGGTTACTATCCTCAATCTCCTCTGTCATAATCTATACCAATTTTTCTGCTCAAGTCTTATTACATCACCAAGGCGACTTCAAACATTGTAATAACCTACACAAAAACCTGCCACAGATCAAGTCAGTCAACCATGAACAGCATCAAAGTGACCAATTTATTTAGTCATTTATTTCTCTATTGTGTTACCTGTAAAACAACAATTAACCGTCACACATTGAAATAATCATTGCCCAAAGACGGAGTTTAAAAGTTCATCCACAGAAGATTGTCAACATTAAAATCAGTAATTTCTCTAAAAAATGTAAACCATACATATTTACTGTGAATCAATTAGTTAAGTATTGTAAATTATTAAATAAGTACATGTACTTAGGCCTTACATTAAAACTTAAAAACTTTCTTACAGGTAAAGTAAAAGTAGGTGATAAGTTATGCCACATAACTAGTTCTAAACTCAGTGTACAAGATATTTTTCATGTTGATATAGCATTTGTTATAGTCTGCTTTGTATTCTAAATAGTAGTATAGCTAGCCATAAGACGGTATCTTGTTACTACATGTCTAGTTATATCCAGCCCAATATATTTTAATCACCATACCCTGATTATACCCTAGTCTTTTTAAGAGGTTAAATAGTGCATTGTGATAACTTGCTCATCCGTAGCATTTCCTACTGCAATATTTGAATGTCCAATGTAATAAAATCATTGCCTGAAATGTCATTGTCAACCACTTAAACAGTTCAGTATTGTTTAAACAATCCGATCTGTATAGGGCTATTCATGGACTAGGTGGGTTTCCATTACCCAGACCATTACAGCAATGACTTGCTTCAAACACTGTCAACTTGTACCTAGATTACCCAAATATATATGAGCTTTGCTATTCATATTACATGTACAGGTAGCTTCAAGTAAGTTCAAGTCTACTCCAACTTGTCTACAACCAATATAAACCTGTATTTTAATAGCGGACGCCAAATAAAGCTATTTCACACATACTCTAACCATAGTATACAAGTCTAGCATAGTTCAAAGTACTCAAACCAATTTAAATATATATCTGGTATTGTTCTAACATAAAAACAAGAAATAAATATTTTGCAATATATGATACATGTAAATGGACACACGACAGCGAAGTTTCTTAATATTTACAAATAGTTCTGTCATTGTGTAATAAACAAAACACTGGAAGCTTACACAATATATGTTCATTGGTTTCGTTATCAGCAACAGAATTCAATGGAAGCTTGTTAACTTTATGAGAACTTTTTAGATTAGGAAATTTCAGTTTTAACTGACTCAAAATGTAACAGTGAACAAAGTAAAGGTAATAGTAATATGTCAAAGTAAAGGTAAAAATATGTCAAATAGAAACAGTACCAATCTTGTTATAATTTAAAGGAGCTAAAACTCTATTCTTTGTAATCTTAAAATGCCGAAAAGCAAATATTAATGTACCGGTAATATGAATGTAGATACTAATTTACATTTGATTTTTAAAAGTTTGATTGTAATTTCTAATCAGTAATGTTTGGCAGAACATAGCTGTCCAAATTGAATGACAGTTATTAAGTTTACCAATTTATCCGTTTCTAGATCAGCCATTTTTATACACCCACATTGCTCCATATAAATATTGTAATAAACCTTTTTATTTCTTTGACATCGGAATGCCTAAAAGTTCTTGAAAGTCGGCGAATCTGCTTTGGCTCAGCGACTCGAAGATTTGTACAATTATATCTTCCGTATCCACGCGAATTCCGCCAAGTATCATGGTACCAAACTTGCGTACTAAATAGAATACTGCGCTGTTGAGGTGAAGAATTCAGATTTTAAAATATGCGTAATAATACATTGATTATCAAAACACGAATCACACCTGTGCATGGTCCTGTATTTACATGTACCGCGTGCGGAGGACAAGTAACGCCCCCTGGAATTCCTTTCTCACATATCCTGTCTATATTTATGCTACAAGTACAAATTATATTTATATATGAAATATTTTTCTGATCTAATTATTTGATTTTGTAAATTTTCTAATAAATTATTCATAGCCTTTATTTATGATTGAATACATGTCACCAGGCAAGGAGCCATGTGCATTTCCATTCCAGCTACCACTATATTTACTGTGGTGTCATTACGATAGAACTATTTTAGATGACCTGGGGGTGCGTTTTAATTTATTTAGATATAATACTTCATAATGCTATAAACTAGTGTCAAGCAGATGAAAACAAGCGTAGATGATGTGAAATTCATTGTTATAAAATTGTCTACTTCCAAACTGTGTGAGTAACTGTTGCCTACGACAAAGCGAAATGTAAACAGTGCAAATGGCGGCTCTTCGCGGTATTTCCGGGCTTAATTCTTGCATTTAGAAACAAATAATTAAATGTACGTGACGTGAGTATTGTAGTCTTAAGTCAATTTACTGACTTGTCGGCGACAAGTAGACAGGCGAACATTTCGAGCCATGAAGTAGGGGATATTGAAATGCAAATACCTATGCAGGTTATGATATTATGATAAATAGTCATGGACACTTGACATGCTTTGAGAATATGTTCACAGATGAAGAACTACCACTGAGCTGCCCATGTGACACGCAATACCGCCATACACGTGGGAGGGGTTCATTGTCAAATTTGACACTTCAAGGAAAAGTTGATGAAAATTGCTGCGTGCTGGTTTATTCTACCTATCCATGTTTGCTTTCTTATCGGGTCTTGCAAGATTTATTGTTTAGCGTATCTTTGCTTTAGTGTGTTACGTTTAATTTGCAATGAGACGTCTTCAACATGATTAACGTCTACATGTTATTGGCATGCTTCAAATGGGTTCTACACAGATAAAATTAGCCAACATGCTTAATGTGTCACAGTCTGATAAGCTGACTGTGGAACCCGTACCAACAAACACACAATGTTGATGATAGACCTCGTTCAGGTCGTCCTAGAGCCACTACACAAGCCCAGGATTGATACATTCGTACACAGGTCCTGCGAAATCGAGGACAGACGGCCTATCAGCTTTCTGTAAACTTGTACAAGTTAGAAATCGGTTACATGCAGCCCATTTGCATGAACGATGACCGCATAATGTGCCTCCATTAACTCGCCAGCACATGGCAAACAGACGACAATGGTGTTGGCAGCGTAGAAATTGGGGTAATCGTCAATGGGTGCGTGTAATGTTCTCAGCTGAGTCCAGATTTACTCTGGATTTCACCGATAGGCCTGCTCGCGTTTGGAGGCGTGTAAATGAACTTCATGCTAACGTTAACATCAGATAGCATGACAGAATCAGGCGTGGGTCTGTTATGGTGTGGGGAGGAATCACCATGACTGGCAGAACGGACTTGCATATTGTTCAAGGAAGGGTCACTGGTGTGTACTACCGTGACTACATCCAGGTACCGATAGTTCTGCCCTTTGCTCAACGTTTGATCTTTCACGATGATAATGTCCGTACCCACCGCGCTCGTGTCGTGAATGACTATCTCCAGCGTCACCATATTGTCCTTATGCCTTGACCAGCCACGAGTCCGGACCTTTCCCGTATAGAGCATGTCTGGGACACGATCGAGAGACGTGTTCGCAGTCCTTCACGTTTACTGAATGGTGCGGGAGCTATAAAAAAAACTCTGCCAATTTCAAAAAAAGCTCCCGTAAAAAAAAAATCTTCTTAATAAAATTATATTTATAATATACAGTAGAATCTGTATTAAGCAGCCACCCAAGGGAATTTTCACGACTGACCGCTTAACGGGAGTGGCCTCTTAATAAAATCTTGGTGCTTTTGCGCTGACATCAATTAAATATTACGCTTGGGTGCATTGGAAGCAAACATCAATACTTGCATCGGTAAATTTGACCGTCGCTGAATCTTGCGCTGAACGAAAATTCTTTACTCAAGTCTCGGACATAACTTCCGTAAATTTTTCATTTTGTACCAACCTTCGATACTAATGTCTACCATTGTGATGCATTCGATAAAATTTATCCATTTTTGTGAAGAAAATCGATGAATTAATTTTATTTTATCAAAAAAAGCACATTGACAAAAAAACATCGCTGATTTTGTCACCGATTTACAGGGGGTGTAACTCTGTATGTAATATTATAGGAGGCGCTAAAACGTCTGTTTAACAACAGAGTGGCAATGGAAAAGAGATACTAGGTGATAGTGACAAAACTCGGCTTCAGTCGGTAGTTTATTTTATTCAATCAGTATCAAATAATATGTCGTTACGCGTGAAAACAATGATCAGGTTAGTCGTTTAATAAAACAAAAGATTAATTAACAGATAATCCCGGGTTTATTGTTATTTTCACATTTCTTTTTACCTAATCAGTGGGGGTCCAGTTAATTAACTACTACTCACGGGATTACCAGAGGTGTTACGAAGAACGACAAGATGCAATCATTCAACAATGGCCGTTGAATGGGCGCCGTTTTGCTAAATTTACTAGTAAAATAGGGACCGCTGGCCGCGTTAGAGGAGTGACCGTTGAATAGAGATGAAACAATTTAGAATTTTTACAGGGGGGATTTATCGTGATCGCTTACAAGGAGATGTCGCTGAATAGGAGTGGCTGCTCATACAGATTCAAGTGTACTTTAGTTTTGTCTCATATTCTTTTTATTATGCCATTCATATATCTCATGAATTTTCGTCAGCGTGCTTCTTAGTGCAGAATTTGCACTAAGTCTACCAAACCAATTTTACAAACCCATTTGTCTCCCTCCGTGGCTATATGCCCTCCAGTAATTCCAATTTTAAAATGTCGCATATTTGGCTGTTTTGACCATCTCCAGACATATTGATAGCGATAATCAAAGCATTGCCAATGAGACAAGCCGTACATGAAAACATTTTAAACAACGGAATGTTATTATTAGACGTACGTCATTCCCGCAGATATTCTCCATCAACAGCAGGCGAAATATTAGGATGTCAAGTAACATCATATTCTATTGGCTAGTTTTAGACTGCTATCTAATTAAAACGAGCCTTGCATTAGCATTCAATATGGAATAATTATGGCAGCCCTAGTTTTACCATGGAAACGCTCATAACTCATAACTCAAGGAGGAGGTCATACTCGAATATGTGCAGGTTTAAAAATAAACAAAAACTGAAAGTAAGGTAGTTTATGAATCTCAATATTTAGG